GAGCTGGCGGCGGCGGTGGTCGTGAAGGGCATCGGCGGCGGCGGCGGCTGTGAGAGCAGAGATGATGTGAGTGTCCGCTGACTGGGGACCCCGGGGCTGCTGAGCCCGGGTGGGCGGCCCGGCGGCGCCGTGTGGGAACTGGAGCGGGAGGCCGGGGGACGGCGGAGGGATGCTGAGTGCGCGGGGCCGAGCCCGGGACCTGCCATCCCCGGGCCGAGGCCGGAGCCGAGCGAGCCCGGCTCGAGTGCGGGGCTCCGGGCCGCGGGGTGAGGCTCAGGCCGAGGGGGAGCGTCTACGATTGTTCTCAACCCCCTCCCCCACCCCGCCCCGTGTGTGTTTGTCACTTGCAGCTGAAGATGGAAAGAGCCAGGCGAAGGGGAGGCGGCGGTGGCGGCGGCGGCCGCGGCCGTGGAGGCAAGAATATAGGGGGCCCTGGCCTAAGCAAGACTAGACTCTATCCCCAGGCCCAGCACTCTCACTACCCCCACTACGCCACTTCGGCCACCCCTAATCAGGCTGGGGGCGCAGCCGAGATCCAGGAGCTGGCCTCCAAACGAGTGGACATCCAGAAAAAGAGGTTTTACCTAGACGTGAAGCAAAGCTCCCGGGGCCGGTTCCTAAAGATAGCCGAAGTCTGGATAGGAAGAGGCCGGCAGGACAATATCAGAAAGAGTAAACTGACCCTCTCCCTGTCTGTGGCAGCAGAGCTGAAGGACTGTCTAGGGGACTTCATTGAGCACTATGCCCACCTGGGCCTGAAAGGCCACAGGCCAGAGCATGGCCACAGCAAAGAGCAAGTCCCCTCCCGAAGGAGGCAGAAGCACTCAGCACCCTCCCCACCAGTCTCCGTGGGGTCAGAAGAGCATCCACACAGTGTCCTCAAAACAGACTATATAGAGAGGGACAACAGGAAATACTACCTAGACCTGAAAGAGAATCAACGAGGTCGCTTCCTGAGGATTAGACAAACCATGATGCGAGGGACTGGCATGATAGGTTATTTTGGCCACAGTTTGGGTCAAGAACAGACTATAGTCCTCCCTGCACAAGGAATGATTGAGTTTCGAGATGCCTTGGTTCAGCTGATTGAAGACTATGGCGAAGGAGATATAGAAGAAAGAAGAGGTGGAGATGATGACCCAGTTGAACTCCCAGAGGGGACCTCTTTCAGAGTGGACAATAAAAGGTTCTACTTTGATGTGGGCTCTAATAAATATGGAATTTTCCTGAAGGTAAGTGAGGTGAGGCCACCTTACCGTAATACTATTACTGTTCCATTCAAAGCTTGGACAAGGTTTGGGGAGAATTTTATCAAGTATGAAGAAGAGATGAGGAAAATTTGCAACAGCCATAAAGAAAAGAGAATGGATGGCAGAAGGGCCAGTGGTGAAGAACAAGAATGCCTCGACTAGAGTGAAATTGAACTCCAGGCAAAATTTATAATCCTAAATTGGCTAAAAGTACTGATCGATTATCATTTGAAGAAAATTTCCTCTTTTGGCCCTACATTATTAGTAATACTTTTAGTAGTTTATAATTCAAGAAGTCTGATTCCCATATTATGTTACACATAGCTCACTATAATTCTCATGGGAATTCCAACCTTCCCAGAGCTAAATAGTTTAGATGCTTCAACTGCTCCAGACTATTGAAGTATGCAAATCAGCACAAAATGTGACATTCTGACCTTTTCAATATCATAACATTGCACTATGAAATAATCTTGAAAAAAAGATACATACATACTTAATATGGAAGAGTGAATTTCTATTTTAACAAATTCCCCAGAAAAGTACTCCATTTCTACTTCATTCAGTCAGCTAAGCATACCTGTAGGACAGTTACCACAGAAATTAACCTTATTATAAGTATGTATTTATAAAAGTACAAGGAGAAATACATTGTCTATTGGGTAACTTTTAAAGAGTGCCACTAACAGATCAAATATTATTAGATAACTAACCATTCAAAATGCAGTATCAAAATATTTCTTAAGAATTACTATAGTATTCTATAATTTCAAAGTTTGTGGTAACCCTACAGTTTATAGTTGTGGTATCAAAGCCATGGGAAAGTTTTCATTGGTTATCCTAAGCTGGTTACCTCTGTTGTACCATATGGTTTTATTGACTTTACAAAGTTTCAGGAATTACATTGACATCACATTTGAGGGGAAGGCTTCATCCAATGGCTTTCCTATGGAAATCTTGGTATTTCAGCATATTGTGTTAATTTGGAGCTTGTGATAGGTTTTTCCCTAAAAATATCATGGTCTCAAGGTATTATTTATTATAATTCTTTAACAGTGTTTCAGAAGGGTTGGTGCACCAATTCATGGATATAAAAATAGGCCTGTAATTACACGTTTTAGTAGCACTTTTGCAATTCTGCTTGTAAAACTATGTCAAACTTCCAATATAAGCCTGACTTTTACAGATACCTTAATTCCAAAAGAAGAAAAAACTTTTCTAAATATTTTAGATTTTCAATCTGGGGAAAATATTATTCGGAGATAAGACTATAGACATTTGAAAGGAAAATTCAGTCATTTTCCAAGGTGCTCATTATGATACTTAAAGAGGTTTACTTTACTAAAGGTTACCTGTATTCAGAATTAATCTCCAGGAAGAACAAAATCAATTTTTCAACACCTAAGCAATTTTTTAAACAAGTAGATGTAGTATATGTGTGTACCAACCCACTCACCTTATATCAACTGACTGAAATTTCAACTATTGGGCTAAATTTTATTCTGAATGAAATTAATTGTCTTTTATCTTAGCTCCCACATTCTAAGTCTATATAATTATGTTCTATCTACAGATTACTGATTTCAGCCCCCCAAAGGTAATTTATTGATGAGAGATGGATTCATGGATTGAGATCAGATTGTAGCTCTTCTTTGATATGCTATATGAAATTCAAAATCATTTTAACAACTTTCCTCTAGAAATTTATCCTCATATACAGTAAAGTCGCAAAGAAAACCTTACAGAATGAATTAAGACTAATAATTTTACTTACAAACAAGTGATCAGTAACCCAGACATTTATACTGGCCTTGATTTGCAGATTATATTTTACATTTCCTCCAGTATTACAAAGGAATCTCATTTCATTGTAATTGTAGACCATCTGGATCACTATGGAACAAATGAAGGATAGAATGAATATGATGTTGGTACTTAGTTAATAGCACATGGTGGGTGTTAACATTATAAAAGTAGCAAGGATTTTTAAACAGTCCTAACTGTAAAATAACATAACTATGTAGGCTTGCTAAAAAGTAGTTTTGGGTATATAAAGGAGTGATGTGCACTTGAATTACTGTACTACCGATTGTTATTGCTGCCCATCATAGTGCCTATTAATAATAATCAACCTGTCAGATTTTGGCACACTAGAGCTGTGAATATTCCAGTCGTCCATTGTTCCTATCACTATTGCTATGAGTGAATGCTCTCTTAAAATCTTCCTTTTTAAAATATTTATATCCATTAAGACTAAATGATTTATCTTTTGGTTTTTTATTTAGTCTGATTAGATTTGAGCATGTGTGTATATACACCTACATATAGATGTATATATACAATACTATGTCAGACTTAAATATCATTGTATATACATATTATTAGTTTTGCACTGATTATTTAAGAATTACTTAAAAAGCCAAATTTTCTACCTTGTATGTATACTTCCAAGTTATTACCATCTCATAGCTGCACATGCTTATATACTGGCAATTGAATAGACTATAGAATCATTCAAGCTTCTTTCAGTTCTTTATTTTACCTTTTCATAGTTAATGTATTCATTGAAAACTGGAATTGATTCTATGATTTTTTGATACTTAAAATTCCCAAGAATTCATTAGCCATAATTATGATCCAGTTCAAACCTCTGGTATTAGAAAATGAATTGCCATGTATCTTATAAAATAAGCTATTTTTATCTGTGCAATATAAATTTTATTTATTGTCATTTGTAACATAAGTGGAACTACAAGTGCACATGGTATTCTTTAAAATAACGGATCCTTGCCTTGCAGACGTTAAACTCTGAAGGCAAATGGATGTTAGAAGTAAAAACTGAGCACTAATATTAGTAACCAAAATAACTAGTTCACTAATGCTAAAACATTGATGATGTTTGCACATAATAATACAAGTGTAATGTGGTACAGATCAAACTGTAATAATATAAGCTAATTGTATGAAATTTGGAAACGGGTTCTCATAGTAGTTGGCAGTGTGCTCCTAGCAATTAAAAGCAGCACTAGTCTGTTGCTTATATGCAAAAGATGCAATGTATTATAAAGGTATTAAAGTTCTGCCACATTTTCTAATTATCCTCGGTAAAGCCCCAAACTGCCATGTCCCTTAACGTGAGTCAAACACAAGCATATTTGCACTAAAGAGCATGGCCAAAAAAAAATAATAAATGACAGGGTGGAAAAGCTAGTTGGAACCTCTTGAAATAGTTGGTTCTAATGGGAGAATTTCACATTTGTCTATTTGAAAGCTGTATGGTCCAGGCAGACAATCTGTCAGTTCACTAATTTAATAATGCACTTTACCTTTTGTATATAGAAGATGTACATTTATGCCACTTGACAGGTGGGATGTGTTTCAGTAACTGTGTAGTTAGAATCTGTAGGGTGATCTCTTGCATGTATATGTTTGTGTTGGAATTGTTGTAACAGGTTTCCATTAAATCAGTGTAATGGAGAAAGGTAGAAGATGCTTTTAAAACAAATTCCAATGTATTTAACAGAAGAAGTTAAAGTAGACTTCATATTTGTATTCTTAAGGACTAGAATATATATAAAACTATGTTTGATCCATATTAGTATTGCAGTTGAGACTATATTTACTTGAGACTCCCCATAATACTCTGAAAGTTAATTTTGAGAATTCGTCCAGATTTTAAAGAATTAATGATTCTATTTTATTGTTGAAATGTTTAAGTAACTATTAAACAGTAAAAATACTGCACCAGACTTGAAAGTATGGTTAGGTAATTTTGAAAAATCACACAGACTAAAGAAATAAAATTTCAACTTAAAATACAAAGAGCCTAATACTTTACCAAAGTAACAATAATGTTTCAAAATTTTCAGAAGTACTAACCCTGACCAAGTAAAAAGGGTAGTGGGGGATTTAGTATATCCTTCCATCCTAAAAATTTCCTAAGGTGTACATTTGAAACTTAAGTAATTGTTGCTTACCAACAGATTGTATGTACTTTACTGAGAAACACTGTGTACTAACATTTCATCAAGAGTGTGCTATATTTACTTCATTTTATAACTATAGATAAGAATATATTATATAATCATCCTATCTTAATATAATCATGTATTTATCTTGTAATTTTGCAGATATTTTCAGTAAAATAAATATTTATCTGCACAATTTGAAGATGAAATTGAAATGCACCCTCAGATACTCATTTTTAATAAGCAGCTACCACTGAAAGTTGTTGTATGTATTGTCATTTCTTTAAACTTTGGTTTATAGTTTATTTTACTATTTAAATGAATATGGCTTAATTTAAATTTTAATTGATTGTCTGAAAATAAGGTTTTTCATGTGAGTTTTTTTTTTCCTGTTTGTTTCCAAATGGCTTTCATTGAAACTTTATGAAATCCTCTTCCAAGCTTTATGTAAGGGCTCTGCTTAAGCACCACTTAGTTTGCAATCTTTACCAAAACATCTTTTGGCAGGATATTAAAAAAAAAAAACTAACATTGACTCTCTTGCTACAAAATAATTCGGACATAATATTATCTTTGCCACATAAGATTCTTAAAATCTTTCTGGAATTTCCTTTAAGATTTTTTGACTTCCATAGGAGAAATGGTAGCTAATGGCTAGCCCAGCAGAGGAAGAGGATAAAGATATTAACATGCTGTTGACAATCCACACTCCACAATACTATAACGTGAAGTATGGGGAAAATGTGTTTCCCAATTTAAAGTCAGATGAAAATTGAATTTTTAAATCACAGTAATGCTTGTCTTAAAACACACGCCAATGTCTGTAGGTAGACTTTAGAATAATGTGTTAGTATATTTTCTTGTATAATGGGAAAGAGTTGGTCTTCATTGTTAATTTGATATATTAAATCATTTAAATTTATTTTATTTGAGTTTTAACACTTCCAAATAGGGGAAAATATACATATATACCACAAAATTTAAATGCTACAGAATAGAGAATGAAAAGCAGTAACCAATGTTATCAGCTTCTTGTGTGCCATAGAGTTTCTGTGAATATACAAACATGTACATATGTATTTTCAAATTCCCAAATCAAAACATATGCACTGTCCATCTCTCAAAATGTAGATCTGGTATTTAAGGGAATTTTTTCCTCTTAAATATCATACCTTGGTTAAAATGTCATTTACCTTATGCAATATTATTACACCAAGGAAATATCAAAGAAATTCTGAATGGCATTTACTTAAATTATGGACATATGTATTAGTTTTAAATATGTAAAATGCAGAGTTTATCCTACTAGTTTCCCTTCTCCATTCCTAGCCATCTTGCCTATCGGTATTCACACACACACACACACACAAAATACTAGCTTTTTTTTTCCTAAAGTAACACAGCACAGGAGTCACAAGATATCAAAGAATTTAACCAAGTTTTTATTTCGGTGTTAACTGTTTCTAATGAAACCACTAATATTCAAAGTATAACTTGATTTTTTACTAATTCTGTTACTATTATTTTTTATCCTAAGACCATGCCAATGAGTATTAAAACTGTAGTAAATGACCATTACAACCTGGTTGGAATCTTTTCATTTATTAACATAATGCTTTTATTATAAGAAAGGTATAAGGCTTATTTAAACTTCATCCAGCTCAGATCTATGCAAAGAGGTAACACTGCATTGGTCTTAATTGTTTAAAGCATTGTTTGAAAGATTCAGACTCTATTAGAAGTCCTTGGGAGCAGAAGATACTGTGATGATTTGGGGAAAGAGTAAAAATTGGGATGCTAAGAATTTACAATATAACTGAATCATATCCATGTATTATTTTTAAATGAAATTAGCATTAACACTATTCCTGGAAATACAAACAAAACTATCTTAATAGTTCACACACAGCGACACCAGAAAAAAATCAAATTCTTTTTTATAGTTATGTGTTTATTATCCTTAAATTGTACAAAGAGGTAACCATTCTCAAAATCTTCCACTCATCAAGAGTGCATTTTAAGATCTTTCTGTTGCCTACCAAGAAAAAAAAACGTGGAAAATGAAAGA